ACTGTACATTAGGAATTTCCGAGGAAAACAAACGTACAGCCATAATCATACAAACGATGAGAACAATGCACTCTTTAAAGAAGACACAAGCCCGTCACGTGTTAATTACAATCCCTACAATAATGTTGGTTTGAGTTTCTTCTCCTTTCAGCAGCTGGTGAAAACTCGAGACATTGTTCCTACTTTACGCTGCATATGACCAGCAAACACCCTCCAAAAAATCGTACGTTAATAGTACATGATCATTCAACCGAAGTTTCGTGAAGGTCCTTGATGCGAATAGCAAGAGATGTTGTACAGACGTGTTCAATAATAACGAAAATTCACAGGACTCTTTTCCCCTAATGTAGTTCCCTTCATATTTGATGAAGAGAACTAAAATTTGTTTACCCAAATGTCCATCCTCAAGTTGTAACTCTTTTCAATCTTGGAATGTCACCATTTGCATTGGAATGGAAAGAAGTGCCAAGAGCAAGGCCACCACAAGAGGCAGCGTAGAGCAAGTAATAAAGCCACAAATCTTGACCGGCATTAAGTCGAAGTGTCACATTGAACCCTCCCGTCTTGGCCTTTACCAACGAGGCTTGGGACTAGACGTGTCTGGCCGCCCTCCGATCCTTGAGGAAAGTGAAGGCAGACAATATGAGAACAACGTGGTCATGGAACATTCAAGTCTCGAGGCCGGCGAAATGCTCCGCACAATATCAACGTGGTGGGCATTCCTGGTAAAGTTCCTTTGAAACACAAAGTTGACTCGGTTCACGAACAGGACTTTCGCACACGGCTACGAAGGCAACGAAGAAGCAGATGAAGCGAAGGTGGGCGCGACACCTACGAGCTCAAACACGAGCTCAAATCCGAACACCTTGTGCCCCGTTGCTCCCTGTTGAATGGTGATCCGCTCGGTCTGGGGCAGTTGGCCACCCAGAGAACAGAAGTCTCCGACCGGAGCAGTCCAACATAGTGAGTGAGTGGTTCATGCACATGGTCCTCGGTCAGCCTACGGTGTGTGTGACTGGGATGGACCGAGAGCTGCCAATCAGGGCACCGACCACCACCCGCAACGCAGTTGCCCATGCTGGACCCTCAGCTTCAACTCTGCCACCCCACGAACTGGGAACACAATCGTAGGGTACGGCTTTGCGGCTGATCCGGTTCGTGCTGTAGCTTGACGGACGACCGGCCCCAGATGGACTGCAAGTTGCTCGCCGAATGTACACCACCTCCGACCAGAACAGTCCACCGTCTCCACAGGGACGATCACTTGGATGCTCGGGAAAGGATGGCGTCGACTCAGCCGACCGCCTCGTACCACGCCGTCAAAATTTCAGACTACCATGGCCCAGTGAGTCCACCAACCGGGTTCCGGATTGTGTTGGTCAAGACGCCGGAGCAGTCAGTCTATCGTCGTCCGAGTCACACTGTCGCTCTTCAGCCCGACCAGAGCAGTCAAATTTCCGCGAGATGTCCAGTCTCAGGGTGCTGATAGACTCCGGTGACCGGAGTCTATCAGTCTTGTGACCGGAATCCGGTCACATGCTTGCTGAGTAATATAAGTTCCACTAACCAACTTACAAACCATAGCCTTCAGCCGTGGAATTTCTTTCAGAAACACACTAACGATCGCGTTATCCCTAAGTAACCCGAGGTTTGAGCCTTTTTTTTTACAGCCTGAGCTGTCATACTTTTAAGGCCAGCAACATCGTCGAACTCTGGTTAGTTACGATGAACGTCATTTAACCGGATGACGAAAAGTTGAAAGCTCCCAAAGAACTGAATCAAACCAGGATCAGTCTAGAGTGGACCTTCCACTTGTAGAAAGAACGTCTAGGGTTTTTTCTCAAAGCCCACTTCTGATGTTCTGATTTTTAAAAATGCATACTCATTGAAGATAGTGATCTTGTGTAGTTCTGTTATCACAAAAATTTATCCATTTTGGGTGATTGAATGAGAATGAATCTTGGTCATATAGTGCGAAACTAAAGAAACATAAGTTTCGTACTCTGCTTTTCGACAAATGAGTATGGTGACGAACAACGCCATTAAACCACTGCACAAGTGTCACTGCTTATAAGACGAGGCATGCAAAATCAAGTGAATTTCTATGTGCATTTCAATATTTTCTACGAGATCATTTCTTCTCTAGGGCACCGACCCAAAGTTCGCGAAACAGTAAGAGGAGTTCTCTCAGTTCTTTCTGGTCGAGTTCAGCACAAAGAAAGTTACAATGTACAGCAGAGATAAATTCTACGTCCTGTAATATAATTCAACCATGTAAATGCCATGTACCTAAATTCCAAAGAGAAATATCGAGACCCCCTGACAGAGGTCAAGGAAAGCTTCTCTTGTCGATGGAAGATGTTTGTCACCAAACCCGTCGCACCTGTGCTAAAATTGGATGTACATTTGGTGTGTTTACCAAAAACTGCCAACCTCGAGGAGAATAGGTCCAGATGGACTAAAGCTTTTCTACTACTCATTCATCTTCGTTGTCATTTCCAAGTGAAGAGATATATGATATGATTGATAATTCATAATAATGCATAATAATTCGATAAATGATGCTATCCAGGCCGCCAATCATTTGAGCAATATCCCAACTACGTCTGGTCAGATTTGCTGACTAGGTTTTGTATTAATGGAGAGAAAACTCCATAAATTAGCGCTATACTCGACGGATTCACCTTGCAACATAATATTCCACTTTTTGAAAGATACTTTCTTTATCCTTTATGTCTTATTCTCTATGCATTTTTCTTAATAATCGCGTCACGTTAACTAACTGTCTAGTGATACTAATCTCCGTTAAGTTTGGAACCCAAAGTAGTCACTTATAATATCTAGCCACCATGTTTAGTGGAATTAGAGCTGGTATGTCTTGTCCTTCATTAGTTGACTAGTGATAAATCGACGTCGTAGTTAGAACAACCCTATACTTGATTCTGAAAAAACATGTTATTGTAGCAGACATGATGATTACTGATCTTCCCTTCGACAAAATTCCATATAAATTGATGATTCATCTTCCTCGATGGGTGACGAGTTTAACTGAAACAACCGACAAAATTCAGTTTCACTATGACTGAGGTTACAAAGATATGTTGTGAGGAGTTGTGTTCAGTAAGTCGTTTGTTTGTAACCGATGGCGTTTGCATATTTGTGATGTGTCTCAAAGTTGAGGATGAAGTTTGGTACGTATAGAATCGCCTGGTGACTCAACCATGGTCTTTTTCAGTTCGCAATGCCTGAATATGCGTGTACACCACACAGTGATTGCCCAAGTTCAGGCTGTTCACATACGTGCCGCATGTACAGGAAGGAGTGAGTTATGTACTGTCTGTGTGCAGCTAGAGCAGGGGGTAAAATGCATGTAGAACACACGTGGTAACGAACATGCCCAAGCTGGTTAAGCTGTCTGTAGAATACACGCGTGTTATGGGCCATTAATCATCACTCGACAAAGCTCTCCGATAAAGGCGTTTTTCTTCGTTATCCTCACTCTTGGTCTGAGCCTCTCATCATGAACCACAGTAATTTTTTCATTGAATGAGGTAAATCATCGATAACCTGCCGGAACTGCATGTTCTCGTCTCGAGACAGCTCATAAACATGGAACTGATCGTCATGAAATGTCGACGACACCTCCCGAGTACATTCTAGCGTTTGCTCTCTGGATACAACTTCTGTCGGACCTCGGGTCGGACTGTACGACCGGCCACGTGAACTCTTAAACAGATACGGTCTCAGCTCTCCGATTCAGTTCACAGTAGAGTATCGTGACAGTCGCCAACACCTTTCGTGGGACCCACCTCTGGCAAATTGCCCACATCGAGTAAAAACATTTAACTATTCTCCGAATGTTCATCCGATTTAGGACGAGGTCATGTCCAGGTACGAGAAGAGCCAACGCGTGATTATTTTTTTTACCGGGAAGGGGTCGCAGACTGCATGAAGCCTTTGGCCCATCGCAGTCCGATGGGATACAATCACCTGCAACCGACAAATGCTTCGCGTTTATCCAACCGGCCGACTCCGTGACCGTGCAATGTAATTTATGAAAGGTGACGCGGAGCTAATCCGCAGAGGTAAACTCGAGACTCGTGGTGATGTAATCAAGCAGCGGTGGAGCTTGGCTGCTAGGCGTCAGGAGCACGTGTCGAGTACCGGCACTCCAGTCAAATCTGTCCGAGCGCCGATACGTCTGTCGCCAAAGTACTAGAGGGATCGAGAAGCTGGGTATGCCCTCCTCTATATATAGTCCATGATGATTCCGTAAGCTTTGGAGCGATTGAGAAAAGTCTCTGTCCCTTGGAAGACCTGGTTAGTTTAGTGCTAGATGATCCCGGATCCTCTGCCTCATGCGCAACTACGTTCAGATATTCCGCCATACTTTCCAGACTATACGTCGCTCACAACGCGTAGTTCGGGGCGTTTGGACAGACCGGTCGCTGAACAGGTTATCCCGAATAATAACGAGCTGACCAACAGTTTTGGATTGCATTCGCTAGATAACACATAGTCACCTACTTTGTCCCTCGAGTCCGAAGGGTAGATGTATGTTCAGTGAGAGCTTCTAGTTAGACTTCTTCCCGGCGTGGTCAAACGTTCCGACTAAGGTTGGTCTTTCATCTGGTTCGAACTCACGTCTGCAATTGCCAACGAGGAAACGTAGGGTGATTTCTTAACCGTATCAGTTATCGTATGACGTTTTCAGACCTGTTCATCGTACATATACATCGCACGTGAGATTGTCAGAATGGGAAATGAAAGCGATTTGCACACACCCTTACTCTTCGACTGAAGTGATAGATTGTTGAGTTTTCATGTTACAGATGGAAATAATCTTCCAAAGTAGACAGAAATCTACCGTATAGTGAAGTGGATAAATCTACAATTTTATTCCCCGAAAACGGCAACGCGCGTCCATCTTCCCTTCCTCTTGCAGATTTGCACAATTTGTGCGTGGCTCAGTCGTGATTTGAGTTTGCTGTTGGACCTGCTAACATGGACATAAGACATCAAACGCTTCAGTGTGTATAGTCTATTCTATTCCCGAAACAGAAATCAGACCAACAGAGCAAAATTCTCTTGCTCCGTATGCAGCTCGGAGACATGTCGAGAGTAGTAATACTTGAATTCTGATCGAAACGAAACAACATAAGACAGTTGACTAGGAACATGATATTTCGTTCAAACACTTTAGCATGAATGTGTATCCATGCACAATTTGGAGACCGAAGACTATGATATACTCAACAGACAAGGAAATAGGGAAATTGTGAGCCGGGACAATAAAAAGCGGCTTAAGAGAATGCGTGTGAGCGACAAATAGTTGTCACACAATCCAAAAACGCAAAAAGCTCTGCTCTGCCAAGTTGAGCACAACTTGTGAGACTTGAAATACCAGCGAATGAAGCCTGAATTTCAAGCAGGAGCTTATTTACATTTCAAAGAATGATTGATGACAACAACAAAGCGTTGCAACTTTTTTGGATTTTCAGATTACAAGATGATACGAAGGGTCCCACGACAAAAGATGGGAAGAGCTTTGCTGCTATACCCTTATCATCACACCCCTCCTTCAAAAACTCGGAGGTGTACTCTAGCTGGATACCAGCGATCCCCTAACCATCTACTTTCTTTTCTTTTTACTAGTGAGTTCACTGTGCCTGCAATTTGCACTTAATCCACATCGGTGAATTCACCCCTTTAGATTGTCGCTACATTTACAAAACCCCTGAGTTTGGGGCCCAATCTTGTATTCACATGGATATTGAACCCCCGCCACCCTCCCCCACACGCTGATTTACATCGGTGACAGCTAATCCGCACCTACTTTCGCCGCGACTCTGCCTGCTGCTACCGGGTACACAGGTGCACAATTTCCAATGCGCTTCCCTGGTTGGGCCTTGGAGTTGCAAGTCTGCATATCATTTAGCACAAACACAATAAGATTGACAGCAACGTCACCGGCACACATACGCTGTTGATGTAAAACACTTGGAATTCGAAACAACTATTTTGGCCTTATGAGTACTGCATTCAAAATAGATGTGTACCTGGAAGAGAAGACGAATGGCGGCCACCAAGTCATTCGACAGTGGGAGAAGCTCCGGATGTTCGGCCTCTACAATTTTTGAAGAGTTTGGACGCATCTGAGGGCGAACCCCATTGTTGGCGATTAATAGTTCCTGTAAAAACTGCAAACAGCTTCCGTTGTTGACAACCTCCTGCTTAGTTCTCGCATCCAGATTGGCAAGCGATGTTAACATTCGCACGACCTGGGCGAGAAGTTCGCGATCATTGGTGGCTCCCAGAAGTTTCAAAAGCACGGATACGCCACCGCGTTCGATGAAGCTCGATCGATGCTGGTCATTGTCCTCTTTACAGCACACACTTTCCAGAACCAGTAAAGTTGCCTGCAAAAACGCTTCCGTGTTAGAGCTGTGTATGAAAGGAAAAGCTCCCAACATACGGAAAAGTACATCGACATAAGACTCAGCCAATTTCATTTCGCAGTGGCTCACCTTCAAAAGTTCCGTTGAAGTGCGACGCTTTACGACTGTCAGTAGGGGCTCGACCAGCTGGAGCTGGAGGACTCCGCTCCGTACGGCGGCGGACTTCTCCAACAAGATGTTGATGGATGTTACAGCCTGATCATGAATGAAGCTTCAATCGTTCAGTGGAAACGTTTAGCAGAAAAATGTGAAGAGCACAATCCACACCCCTCAAATCTGTTGAATCCAGCTTCCACGGAAGAGGCGATAGAGGACAAAAATACCTTCTTCGCTACTCGTTCACTAGTTCTACTATTAATCCACTTTAGCAAGGAAGCAGCTGAACCGATCTTCAACAGCTCCTGGCACAATTCTGGAATGTCGGAATCGCACAGGAGCAAAAATGCGTCCGCGCACAAGTTCTGCTGAGGCTCCTCGACCTGCCATTATCCGACTCCAGTGAGTTCAAGCCCCGCACAGAGTCCAAATACACGTGATCTACCCCACATTGACGAATGAAGTCAAACAATTGACCAAAGCCACTTCCATTGATAATCAGAAGGATCGAACTCACCGCTTGCTCGAACAACATCGCAAGCTTCCGGACTCCGCCGAGCCTCAAGATTTCGCGTTGAACGCTCGGGCAATGACGGAGCAGATTGCCGAGCACCAGCAGAGCGTTGAAGCGCACTGACACACTTTCAGCTGATAGAAGCGCCACCAAACGGAGAACTCCAGAACCTTTCAACATCTGCAGGAACGGACGGACACTTCAGCAATCGCCCCCGCAAGACAACGTTTCCGAGTTCGGAATCGGCTAGCCATGGCAGTTTAAAGCACAAAACGCAAGATAAAGCACCACGCACCTTGCTCCTGAAGTTCTCCGCATAGTCAGAGTTGCCTGCCGTGAGGAGAGCAAGAAGGTAAGTAACCCCAGCCAGCGCGCGAGCACTTAACCCTGCAGAACTCAGCATGCCCACGAGCTGGGAGTAACAGCGGTCATGGTAGAGCACGGAGAGCTCGTTTTGAGCTTCTTCGCTGACATCATCATCGCCTTCCTCCTCGCACGATTGCAGCTCCTGCGACACGGAAGAGATCGAACTTAGAGAAAGATTGGAAAGGGGAGGAGGAAACATGCGAGCACCACCGATGCGATGGCGATGGCGACGACCTTCGCCTCACGCTAGTATGACACCCAACGGCCAAAACCACCAAAATTGATGTTTTCCGGTTACGTTCGGAGTAATGTTGCTGGAATAAGGTGCCACGAGACATTGAATCACAGTTTCTGATTCAGCATGGACTCAACAAACGAGCGCTGGACAGCACGGCTGCCCGGCAACCCGCGGGCAGGAAGGACGAATTTAGTCCCGGGAATTGACCGACAATGCATACCAGTAGGACGAGTGTACGGATTGAAAGCCAAACATCAGAGCGGTCGTGCCATTACCTGCAAGGCGCCCAGAGCTCTCCGGATAAGCTGACCGACCAGGTCGCCGGCAGAAACTGACCGGGACTTCAGTCCCTTGCTTGTGAAGATCTCCACAAGTTCGGCGGTCGACATGTTTCCAAGTTCTTCAGCCATTTTGATTCCTGTCACCTACTTGCGTCAAGTTTTAATGGTGATTAAGCCAAATTCCCGTGTTCCTCAAGATATGTCCCAAAAGCACGTTCCTCGACCTCAACAACTGACCAATCAACGTCCTTGAGTTGTCCTTAGTGAAGTTCGGAGGCTCTCTCGCAAGACGGAGAAGAACCTTCTCGTCGCTGATGAGGAAAGTTTATGATGTTAAACGTTACCCTTCTGCACGGGCAAACGACACAGACATGAAATTAAGCACTCGTACGTACATCTGAGATCCTGAGCTCACAGACGAATCCATGATTAGCATCCTGTCGACATTAATCGCAGACAAACACAGAAACGCACGCACTCGACCCCGAGGCCCATCCCAACGGCCTCCCGTCTTAGACTCCTACCTTCCAGATTGTCAGCGAACGAGAAATTCTTCACCATCACTGCACCAACTCCATGTTGTCAAATTGCACCCTCAAACAAGCGAATCGACTATGAAACCTGCGATCTCCCACCTGTTATGATACAATCCCCTCCAATCCAACACGACCTCCGATCGGGAGCTCCACCCGTCCGAAAACTTCCAAGAGCCAGAGAGAAATGCCACAGATGAATACCCTCCCCTTCTACCGTCTCTCCAAGCGCCGGTTCGAACCGTGGCGGGACGATCTCAGGTTACGTGACCAGTGTCAAGTTATCCCTCGAGTTAGATGCGACCTGTTGTACCCGGTACCCAGTCCCAAACGTACCGTACCGATGGAACAGACTACCGCCACGTCTTTCCTCGTTCTGCCTCAGAGCTTCCGGTAGTAGCGAGTATGATTGCCGTCTGTCATGGCCGAACTCAAGCTGTACGGCCGACCAACCATACGCACAACCCGGACGTCCAAAATGGTTTTCTCGTGAAGCCTGCGTTTGATTAGCTCAATCGGAAAGATATATCCACGTGGCTACCGATTACTCGCTGTGTTTCATCAATGTACACGAACTTTCGTTCTACGCCTTTGAAAGCGATATAATGCTCCACATCAGCGGAGGGGTCATTCGTCCACCCTGGCCAACCCCTCCCACATGGCCTCCTCTCAAAAGACGAGAGACACAGGTCTGAGTCGATCCGTTATTGTGCGCCGTGAAAAGAGAATCTTTCAAGCTGACGTTTCCGTCGTGCACAGCGCGACGGTGATGGCGTACTAGGCGAGACCACACCTGACGACTAGGATAGAATCCATCTCACTCGATCTACGGCCGAGATTCCCAAATCCGTCGTACCCTCTGGAGTCCCCCAGTATGTTCTTCAGTGAGAATTCCTGGTCAGAAACAATGTCCATCAGACTAAAGGCGGACAGAAGTTGCCAGCAGAGTCGATGGCTCAGATCCTCCCCTTACCAAAATCTGACGCCGTAGCACAGCACATTGTTTCGGCATCAAGAAGAACAAGTGGCGGAACAGTAGCGAGAACACAACGATATATAAATCTCCTGGTTGTCTGTAGTTACTCTGTGGTCCCCGCATGTCGGTTCCAATAACAGACAATCATTCCTGCACAAGAACTTTGTAACAATCTCTCCTGTTTATCACGTAGCTTAACTTAACCACCCAATCTAAGGGCCTAGCCCCTCCTCACCACCCTTGGGTTCCACCCATTTGCTTCTTGATGGTGCCTTCCCCACCCTTTTTCTCTATTCCCTGTCTCAAGTTAACCACCCGAAATTCATCTTCCCGTTTCCAACGTACACTCGCCGCTATCACACATGGTCCGCTGTAGCCGCCACTAACCCCAGGTCAGTAAACCCTACTGTGACGAGCACTTTTCTCCGTCAAAGGCGTGCGTTGGTTGGCTCTGAGCCTTCTGACCCTCCCCAGACTTGCGCACTACTGTAACGAGTTCGCGATGGTGTAAGAACGGTTACTTCATGTTGACCACTGGATACGTCTAACCGTTACTGTTGCACCTTTGGCTTTTACTGCGACTATGCATTTCCGTGTCCCTGTTAATGACGCTCATATGATCTGTACAGATGCGAGTAAACCTGTAAGCCTGTACTGTTCTCAAGAGGGCTGCGCCATTGACGTCGCCCTTTTGGAGATCGCAACATCCTACGATCGCACGAATCTTCAAGTGACAGCATGTTAACTTGTAACCATTTCCCGGGGTTTCCTACGTAAAAGGCCATGACAATGTCTTCGTGAGTCATTCTATGAAACACACACTCTCTCTCTCTTTCTCTTCTCCATTTCTATTTCTATTAAAAGAGTCACCAAAGATGTTTGACCTTGGGTGAGTGAAGTACGGGACCCTCGACCGGGACCTGGGGCAAGTGCTCGTTTCTGTACATCCACCTTTTTCTTTGCCATCTGGGCTATCTTTCGAGATTATTATGCTCGCATAGCTGTCGTGTAGTGAGAACTTGCGCTAAGAAGCGTACGAGCTCCTCCTACTTACATGCTTGGTTTAATGTCTAATCTTAATACTGTAGATAAACTTTCTCCGAAACCATGGTTCCACCAAAACTCGTCACGAGTTGGAACTCTACCTGCTCCTGTGGTCATCCCAGGCTAGAGATATACGACGCCAAATTAGACGAGCTTTGGCGTCTTTCGTCGCTTTGCTCATGTACTGTACCTAACTCAACGCCGCAGACAAAACTCGCGGTTAGTGTCGAGCACTTCCTGGTCATGAGCAGGGTTCTAACGTACGCTCGAAGGCCTGCTCTCTTCAAGAACAAACGGTCGCCTCTGCGACGTTCTCGTAGCAAGATTTCGCTCAAGCACCAAGAAGCGCAAACGGCAGGTTCTTCTACCGAGACCCATCGCTTCTCTCGGAGACGTTCTTGTATCACACGCTCCCTCTTACCTGTCAAAGGCGGGCCTACCGCCAGGTTCTTCTAGCAAGTTCTCATTACAAATTAAGGCGGGATACTCACGGGAGCTCCCGCCTTCTCTGCCCAGCTGAGATGGTTCTGCCCGCCTTGCAGACGGTCCTAGCGACTTCGCGATCTGCTCTTCTCGTCTTGCCACGTGTTGCTTCATCGCTCCTGACCGGACGAGGGTTACAGGCTCACTAATCTCCACTACAGTCCTGGTGGACATGTGTAACCGGGGTTGACAGGGTGATAATTCCGGGCTGCTGATGCCAATGGCATATGCGAGTCTCGAAATCATATTCTCGGTATCAAGAATCAAAGGAGTAGATGAACATTTCCGCCGAACCTACTGGTGATTTCACATTCAACTGAAAGGTTGCAGCCTTTACGACTGCGGTTGTCTTTTGCTTCCGCTTTCATTTCGAGGTGAGATTTTGTGATTCTCATCCGTTCTTCACTTTAACAGTTAGTTGCCGATTTACATAACGTCTACGGTAGACAGTGAACACTTGTGGAACACATCTTGGCATTGCACAGCCTACGGATAGCTGGTCTCTTCATCTCCATGTTGATTGATCGCTGGTCTACAGAAAAAATTTGAGATGGTATAAACGCACTCACTTAGATGGACATGTATTCAACAATCTTCAACCTGTTTTTTCGATAACAATGGTTGATTTTATGCATTGATCTAGCGCAGGACGAGCATATTCTCCTATGCTTAAGTCAGACGATTCAGAGAAACTTGTGAAAGAAGATTAGAGCCTTGAGAGTAGGAGTTGACATGATGTCGAATGTAAGTGTAGATCGATCTATTTTATGTGCACTCCAGCTCAACCACGCATGCCATGTACAGTTCTTATGATGGCCTCGTAGGTGCACATCCACCTTGCAACAACCGGACATCCTGAATACTTGGGCACACACACTAGTTCTCAGGAAATAAGGAGCCATGATTGGAAAAAACGTATACCTTATGTTGAAGAACTCCAAAACCAGACCCATGTAGTTGGCCACGCAACGAGCAGATTAGGCCATGATAGAAGATGTGCTTTCAACGAGTTATCCATTCCCTCGTCAAAACCTCAAGATGGATACCCCGTACCTTTGTATCCTCACTGTTTCACAAGCCGTGTGATCCTTCATCTCCAACAATTCTCCTTTTTTCTCTCTGAACCTCGTACAAGAAGTTACAACGAACGAAGATGGCCACAGATTCGGAGCAGTTCTTCCTCCTCTTTTAAAATATGAATTATCTTTTATTGCCCCGGTGAAATCGCAATGTAGGAACTCATCCACTATATCGAGTTCGAACTCAGTGGTTTTTTCACCAAAACTTGAAAACAAGAATGCTGAAATATATTTATCTACGATTAGCTGAAGGCCAAATTACTAAGATTGGAAATTCTTGTCGTCAATTTTTTAGGTATTAGATTTGAGTGGGGTTCTCGCGATGGACAAGTACACTAAGGAAATGAGGTTGATTGCTATCGAGAAATCTAAATGCAACTTGTTAGCCATTTTCATGCAACATTGTTCACCTTTCAATTGTAATATTTGTCTACACCAGTTTGAAATCGTCACATTTCAGAATCTGTAGACGTTGTGAAGGAATTTTTGGGGCATTGGAGATCTTTTAGATATACATCAAAATTATTTTGTCTTGCATAGGGACATGAATGACAAGAATGGAATCTAAAGCATTTTACATATACTTTAGAGAACTTAGGAGGGTCGGCAAATCTTTAGAAGGACTCGTAGTCCTCCTATGCTTATCTTCATAACTAACTTCATTTTTCCTTTAATCATCATAAAAGTAAGTTACCTTACATCATCATAGGGATTATTCCATATGCAAAAATTGATTACATCAAAATTTTTAATTGCTGATCAGTTTAATCTATTGTGTCAAATCAATTGTATCAATTGTATTCAAGGGGAGAATATGTCCATTTTCTCATTTTGAATTTGATTTATTCTAGTTATATATTTGGATGTGATATTTAAATACTTTATCCAAATCATGTGCAAGTCAAAGTTTCTGTTATAGTTATATCATTGTTCCTTAGTTGACTATAATTCATCATTGACATCGATCGACATTGAACTCTCTATATTTAAAATATATTTTAACTTACTTGTTAATCTTCTAGAAAAGTAAATCACTCTGATCTTATAGTAATAAGAAAAAGAGAGGAAAAACTTAATTTGATTTTAAGATATGATTTTTATAGTAAATGAACATTTTATGTGATATTTAAAAATATTTTTCTATTTGAATTTTAGTTAAAGAAATGAGATATATTTCTTGCAATTACATCTATTTTAAAAATTTTATATCTCATTAGAAAAATAAACATGAAAACTAAAAAAATGTTTAAAGTCAAATAGAACTTTTACAGAAAAAATTGTGAACTGCAATGTTTGGGGATATTTCAAATAAGATTGAGATTCATATGTTGATCTTTTAAAATGAAAGATGTTTTTGTTTTACAAATATGCACATATGTAAAAGAGAAACAAAACATTAACTCTTCCTATTCAGTCATTCTTACAAGTTTACTGACACATTGAAACTAAATCACTCATGAGAAGAAAATTTTGTTCCAAGTACATCTCTCAAGGATAAAGTAAAGCCCAGCACTTTGTGTTAATCCCTTTTCTCTGGCTGGCGGTATGTTAAATTCTATTTTCCGTTACTTTAGAAAGTGCTTTCATATATTACTGACCGTGTAGCCCAGACCGGAAAGAAAACTCTGAAATTTTGTTAATCCAAGGCTCCATGATTTTTAGCTTTGATTAACGTTTTACTTTTGAATTTCAGCACAAAATTAAAAATAAGCTATGATATTTTGGCTTGAGTGGAAATTTGTTTGGTTAGTAGCTTAAAGTGTATGAATTTAGAATTGCAGGATGCAATATTTAATTTATAAATAAAATTTGAAAATATTGATATAAAATATCACAAAATTTTGTTGACATAAGACATTTATAGACATATTTTCTACAAAGAGAAACATAAATATAGCATTACGATTTGTGATGATATTGATATTTAGAGGGTTATGTATAGAATTTAATGATGAAGTGATTGTTTAGAAGATAATCCAAGGGATCTACAAAAAAATATAAATTAATTTTATTCATTAATAATTTTATATTATTCAATCTTTAAGCGA